GTTGGGTTATGTGGGTGAGTCGAGATACTTTTTTAGGTTGAGTGGGTGAGTCAAGATACTTGTTTGGTTATGAGTGTGAGTCGAAAGAATTGTTGGGTTATGTGGGTGAGTCGAGATACTTGTTGAGTTATGAGAGTGAGTCGAGATGCTTGTTGAGTTATGAGAGTGAGTCGAGATACGTGTTGCTTTATGTGGGTGAGTGGAGATACTTGTTGGCTTATGTGGGTGAGTGGAGATACTTGTTGAGTTATGAGAGTGAGTCGAGATGCTTGTTGGGTTGTGAGGGTGAGTGGAGATATTGGTCGGATTATGAGAGTGAGCGGAGATGCTGGTTGGATTATGAGAGTGAGAGGAGATATTGTTTGGATTGGTCAGATTATCAGAGTGAGTGGATATAATGGTCGGATTATGAGAGTGAGTGGAGATACTGGTTGGATTATTTGTACAGTGCCTTAATGCCTTTTTTCCCCATCAGCAACAACAACTACAACAACTACCACAACTACAACTACCACGACTACTACCACAACGACTACAACTACTACAACACCATCCACAACTACTACTACAACACCTACAACTACAACCACTACAACTACACCTACCACAACAACTACTACTACCACTACAACTACTACACCTACCACTACAACTACACCTACCACTACAACTACTACACCTACCACTACAACTACACCTACCACTACAACTACAACACCTACCACTACAACTACACCTACCACAACAACTACTACTACCACTACAACTACTACACCTACCACAACAACTACTACTACTACATCTACCACAACGACATCTACGACTACAACGCCAACTACCACAACAACTACTACTACAATTGCTACTACAACACCTACCACTACAACTACACCTACCACAACAACAACTACTACTACATCTACCACAACGAATACAACTCCAATGGCCACAACTACTACAAAACCTGCCACTACAACTACATCTACCACAACTACTACTACAACACCCACCACAACAACTACCACGGATCCAAAAGCTACAACTACTACTACATCTACAACGGCTACAACTAGGATAAATCCTGAAGATACAACTACAACAACACCAACCACAACAACTACTACGAATCCGGAAACTACTACTTCATCTACTACAACGACTACAACTACTATAGATCCGAAAGCTACAACTACCACTACATCTACCACAACGACTACAACTACTATAGATCCGAAAGCTACAACTACAACTACATCTACCACAACGACTACAACTACTATAGATCCGAAAGCTACAACTACAACTACATCTACCACAACGACTACAACTACTATAAATCCTGAAGCTACAACTACTACTGCCGTGGGCTTAAAAGGTACACACATAATAGTTGCAATAAAAGAACACTGTCAACTGGATGTACGAAATATGCATTGCAGGTCAAAGGCAAACTAGCCAAAGGAACTGTATGTAAATATGAAACAAAACATTTCTCTATGACAAAATATGTAGATTCGTAATGTTTCATAATAAGTAAGTAGACGCATGTCCACTAATCTATGATTTCAGGGGCGGAGGGGTAGCCTAGTGGTTCGAGCGTTCGCTAGTCAGGACCAATATCTAGGTTCTATTCCCCGTGTGGTTACAATGTGTGAAGCCCATTTCTGGTGTTCCTCGCATAGATATTGCTTGAATATTGCTAAAAGCGACGTAAACCTAAACTCACTCACTCATTCCTGTTATTCAGGAACTGGAGATTACTACACGAAGTCCGCCACCTACGAAGGAAGTCCGTTGAAAGACATGACACTGCTGACAGTCCCTACCCGTACCTACTGTGCAGCTCATTGTTCCAGCACAGAAGGTTGCACTGGATTCACATATGATGAAACAACAAACACGTGTTACCGTGGTCAGAAAGTACCATCAGTAGATGAATTTATTCCTGTATAGAACTGTCTTCATGCTCCAGAGTTTGTGAGTGTGTGAACCCTCCTTCATGTGAACCTTAGTCTAACCTTCAGTCTGCTGTTTGTATTGATGATGATGATGATGATGATTTGAAGATTTATCGTGCGCTTTCTGCCGTAATGCGTATATCGCACACGGGCCCGCCAGGCCATTTAGTGGGTGATCGACAGAGGATGATTTGACCGAAAGAGGGTGATTTTACCAAAACATATGGAACATTAAGGGGGCGTTAGGGCTACATAATTAAATTTGTATGCATTTTGAATCTAGAAATTGGGAAGGGGTAGGTGAAGTACTGGTGGTTTGGCTGGTACTAGTTTTGTTTATTGTTGTGTGTCTTTTTTCCAGGTTATGTGGTATTTGTTTTGTTTTTTTGTTGGTGTTTTCTTTTGTGGGGTATGGGTTGTTTGGGCACGAGTTGGTTATATGGGATTATATACGACCATGAAGGCCAGTTTTGATTAGAAATATAGTGGTGGAATTATTTAGTGGGCTAAGGAGTGTTTGTAGTGTTAGATGTGTGTTGGTGTCAAGTGAACTCTTGAGCACCGTTCTGGGATGTTCTGCAGTGTAATAGGGCGTGTTCTGGGATGTTCTGCAGTGTAATAGGGCGTGTTCTGGGATGTTCTGCAGTGTAATAGGGCGTGTTCTGGGATGTTCTGCAGTGTAATAGGGCGTGTTCTGGGATGTTCTGCAGTGTAAGAGGGCGTGTTCTGGGATGTTCTGCAGTGTAATAGCGCGTGTTCAGGCGTGTCTGTTTCGCTGTAGTGGGCGCATTTGCCTGTTTGGCCATTTTTCATTCTCTTACATGAGAATTCAATTTTGTGAGGCCTGTTTGTAATTTGGTTATCGCCCTGGCAATAAATTTTATGGAATATTTTTAGTTTTCGGAGTGTTTTTTTAAGTAGGTGTTTCAGTTTAGAATTTGAATTATATTATAACTTTGCCACTTTTTGAAGATGTTTTGTTTTGATAGGCTTTTGATTTCGTTTTAAGATGTTTAGTATGTTTAATTTCACTTCTGGGAGTTTAAGTGCCCCGCTTTCGCTGCTTGGTCGGCAGGTTCTTTGCCAAACATACTAGCATGGGCATTGATACGTATGGACGATTGGACCAAGTTCGACGAGACGCAATTACCTCCCATCGACCAATTTTACAGCAACTTAACCGAATCCCATATCTCCCAGGACGATTACGACCACGCCCAGAACGTATGGAACAAACTGGGTTGCAAGAATCTGGTCGACTACCACGCCCTCTACTTGAAAACGGACGTGCTGCTGCTGGCCAACGTGTTCGAGACGTTCAGAACGACTTGTTTGAAACAGTATCAACTCGACCTCGTATGGTACTACACCTCCCCTGGTCTCTCATGGGATGCGCTGCTGAAGAAAACGGGCGTCAAACTGGAATTGTTCACCGAATACGACATGCACCTGTTCGTCGAGAAGGCATGCGCGAACCATTAATGGTCGATCGAGACTGAATGTCCGACTATCAGCGAGACTTGTTGGGCGAGATCACACTGGCTCAGGTGGAAAAACACGTCCCGAACTTGATGAACAAAACCAAGTACGTCGTGCACTATCGCAACCTGCAGTTGTACCTGTCGCTGGGTATGAAGCTGACCAAAATACACCGAGTGCTCAAATTCGATCAAAAACCCTGGATGGAACCGTACATTCGGTTGAACACCGAATTGAGAAAACGAGCCACGAGCGACTTCGAGAAAAACCTCTACAAACTCATGAACAATTCGGTATTCGGCAAAACCATGAAAAACTTGATGAAATGGGTCAACGTGAAACTCGTGCGAGTGCACCAGGAGGAAAAACTCAGAAAACTGATCGCCAGCCCGGCATTCAACCGAAGCAAGCTATTCGACTTGATAGCGCTGCACATGAACAAAAGCCACATCAAACTCAACCGGCCCGTCTACATGGGGATGAGCATTCTCGACCTCTCCAAACATCTCATGTACGATTTCTACTACAACCAACTCAAGAAGCAATATGGCGATCGATGCGAGCTGCTGTACACGGACACCGATTCCTTGTTGAATATACTCACCGAGGACGTGTACGAGAAGATGGCGAGACACATGCATCTGTATGACACCAGCGATTACCCCCAAGACCACGCCCTACACAGCAAGACCAATAAAAAGGTCCCCGGCAAGATGAAGGACGAATGCGCTGGCACACCCAAGATGTATTCCATCCTGAAAGCCGACAACTACTGATTAGACCTCGACGCGTTGGGAGTTTCCGAGACCCCCAATCAAGTCAGTAGTTGCTGAAAAAATGCGTAGCCCTAGCGAAAATGAGATGAGGGTCTAGGCTGGCGAGCTGGGCTGTACATCGAATGATGTCTCTGCTCGAAATCACTATTTTATACTAGGCGCTGGGAGCGGAATTACGTAGAAATAAGCCTATAAGAGGAAGTGGTCCAGAACCATCATTATATAGAACTAATCAAATTCATCAGTTGATTGTGCCTTGTGCCTGCTTGTGTGATATCTGTATTATTATTTACCCCTGTAAGATATTGGTGGGTGACAAATGATGCAAATTTATGCTGATATTTTGCTATTAGTACTTTCATACTAACGGGAAAACTATATATGTTTCATGTGAAGTTCAATACTACTGGAAAAAAGTAACTGCATTATTTGACGTTAAGTCATTTTAATGCAAAAATGATAAGAACATGATTTGTTGTGTTTTCCTTATTCGCTGTTTAATTGTTTACAGCATAATATCGAAATCTGTATGATTTGACACTAGGCATCGTGGCTCACCCTTGAAGAGATGTGGTGTCAAAAACAGTCAGTTCACAAATTCAGTATCGCGCGTGTCCACCATTGGCGTTGATGCAGGCTTGGCAGGCTTGTTACCCCCATAACGTTGTCGCCACCAAACTGTCGACGCATGAGCATTCATTCACCTCGCCGTCTGTACATCTTTGTCCTGTCGTCAGTAAACACAACACCATCCTAATCTTGTCTCCTGTACTGTATATGCTGCATTTCAATGGACCCAAAAATGCCTGGCCACTTCATTTTTGGCCATTCCAGTCTCAAGCATACCCACGGCACGGAGACGCTGATTTTCTGTAAGCCGTGGCATGGAGATCTCCTCATAGTGCAGGCACCTTTTGTTCATAATTACTGAAGCAGTCAGACATGTCGAATAGCAAAACAAAGTTAACAGTGTCATGAACGTAACTATTAAGACCTCTGGTTTAAGAGCACCGTAACAGTTCTGCATGGTTTCTCCAAGTGGTGACCCGTGAAGGTCCGGGTTAGAATATTGATCTTCAGTAACCCATGCTTGTTGTAAGACGCGACTAACGGGATCGGGTGGTCAGGTTCGCTGTCTTGGTTGATACATGTCATCGGTTCCCAGTTGCGCAGATCGATGCTCATGTTGTTGATCACTGGATTGTCGGGTCTACACTCGATTATTTACAGACCGCCGCCATATAGCTGGAATATTGCTGAGTGCGGCGTAAAACTAAACTCACTCACTCAGTCAGTCACTTCTCCAAGTGGTAGCGATTTTCGCCATGCTTTCCTCCACTTTTGAGACGTCTGCTATAACGCTCACTCACTCACTCACCCACCCACTCATATCTGACGCTCACTCACTCACTCATGTTCGAATTCTAGCATCGGTCAACTACGAGTGTACCCCTTCTGACAACAACTCACAGTAACCTAATCTTAATCATTAGCTTGAACATAAAACGACAAACAAGATTCAACGTGCTACGAATGTGAAATATATTGAACAGAACAAAGTTTGTCTTCTGGTCTGCATTATACATCCACCTGTCAATAGATACCATTCGGCTGGAACATGAGGTTTGCTGCAAGTAAACGTATACCATATACAGTATTGCCAGGTAACATATACATTATGTAGTACAGTGGGGCGTACACACACATATATATATAATGAAAATTTACAAAATAACCCTTCTAATTTGTATTTACCCCTCTAGAGAATCACAAAGACATTCAAATCTATAAATCTAAATACAATCTCAATATATATAAAGATATATGTATGTATGTATGTTTGTATGTATGTATGTACACACACACACATATATATTTATGTGTGTGTGGTGCGTGTGTGTGTGCAAGAGAGAGAGAGAGAGAGGGAGGGAGAAAGAGAGAGAGAGTTAAATTATTAAAATGCAGTTTAGTAGGTCATCTAACATCACGTTAATCTTCCCCCTCACTTTCGTCGTTTATTCAAGAATGGATATCTAGAGATTAATCGCTTTAATAATGAGGCAAGCCTAAGATGATACGGTACTGTACCAGGTGAGAATATCCCACACGAAAAAGCCCTAACCCTCATCACTCGAAGTGATAGGGCTATGGGAAAGTGTAGGTTTGTAAAATAGATGGTAGTTCGATTGATGGACTTAGGTGTGTGATCTCTCACTCAAGCAGATGATGTAGCACTCATTTCATCGAGGGTGTCTGCCCTTAGAGAGATGGTGAGGATTTCTGAGGAATATAGCAACGACTGCAGATACGTGCTGTCGTCCTCCAAGAGTGAAATTGTGACTTGACCATACCGGCCGAGATTTCAGCAGCTGAAGCAGGTTGAAGTCAGATCGTCTGACCAACCTCTCCCGTGGAAGGAATGTTGGAATAGTCTTGTCAAGTAACATGTCAAGCATAGAGCATGTGACGCTAGCTGCCATTTCCTTGAATCCTGACAGTTGTTAACCGTGTGTCTCTTCCTAAAGACCTTTACGGGTCGGAACTGTTCACTAACCTCTCCACAGTTGAGATCTTAATGCTGGAGAGATCTTACAGGCACGTCATCAAATCAATCCAAGACCTGCTTCGTACCACTCGAACTGATAGCTGCCTTGGTCTCCTTGGGGTGTTGCCTCTAGAGGCGGTTATAGATCAGCGGAAGTTGTGTTTCCTGGGTGGTCTCTTGAATATGGACCACATATATCTGCCTCACAAGGTGATCATATCCCGGCTGATGTGGTACTAACACTACGTCTCATCGTCATCGTTTGGATATGTGCCTGATGTAGTCAGGGTGCTCAAGAAGTACCTACTCTATTGTCACTTAGAAAAATTCCTAGAATCAAGGTCCTTTTTAGGGCGTTCGAAGTGGAGGAGAAATGTGAAGACGTCAGTCAGAGAGTATCATGGAACAGTCGGTTGGCAGGTGACTCTGATCTTCACAAGTTCAAGCGGATACATCGCCAGCTTGAAGTCCATCCAGCATGGATGGTGTCATTGCTTGACGCATCACTCGCTACAGTGAGAGACCTATGTGAAGCAGGACTGTGTCATTGGTGTGGGTTGATGTATAATGACTCCATGACTCACGCCGTAGTTGTGTGTGGATACACAGATGCAGCTCGGGACGAACTGTGGATAGGCCTGATCAATGTTGGGCCAATTGAAATCAGTGTGAAACTCCACAACATGAATCCAACTGAACTTACTGAGTGCTTGTTGTCGTGCACAACTGACTTTCCCTGATCAAAGAGGACTTGATTGGGTTTTCCACTCTGTGCATAAAATACATCACCATGATGTACAAAGCTGTGTTCTAGTGACTCATTATTACTCTAGTGTTCGGCCGATCACGAAAACGTGATATCGGCTCACATATGCATGAAAATAAAAAAATAATAATAATAATTTTCAAAATCCTGAAATAACTGCATAAATGTTGTTTTTTTCCCCTTTTTGTACTCTTCACTATGGATGAATACAAGATTATATATATAGAGAGAGATAGGGGTGGGAGGAGGGGGAGAGAGAGATAGTTGTTCCTTCCTTCCAGAAGTATGAACCTACCAATTGTACATGCCTTGTAGTCATCGACCGTGTACACCCTGTCCTGGTCGCCCGCAATGTCTAGAAGCTCCTTCTGTGAGAGGGTGAGGCCAACACCGACTGCAAACATGTTGATACCAGCGTCTCTTGATTTAGCCGCTTCCTTCTGAGTTTTTGCAGAGTTCTGAGACTGCCCGTCGGTCATCACGATGGCGATGTGAGCTGCATGGGCGCGTTGTTTGGGCAGCATCTGTTTCTCTCGCATGAACTTTATACCTAGACCTGTGTCGGTGTAGTCGCCAGCAGTGTAGGGGATGTTCGTGATGGCGTTCACGACGTCAACCTCGTCGGTGTAGGCGTCGAGGCCAAAGGCAGTGTCATCATAGGTGCCGCGACCGTAGGTGATGACTGAGAATCTTGCTCGCTGGGGTGAAACATCAAAGGTCGTGACGATGCTCTTCACGAAGTCCATCCCAAGGGTGAAATTGATGTCGCCAATACTTGACGAAGCGTCAATAACAAAGGAAATGTCAAGGGGGGTTGTCACGGCACACTGTATGAGAAAGTCCGTAAAGAGTTAGTGAATGGGGCAGACATACCAGTGTTCGATCATTAGTTACAAGACATTCTGATCAATATCAAACTATTCCTGAAATCACGCAGGCGTAAAATCAAGACCTCCCTGCAAGCAGCTATACCAAACCAGTTCAGACTCTATTCTAACCACACACATACACGTACAGTTCATTAAGTTTAGGTGAAAATATGGGAGTTCGATCAGTCGTTGTGCTAAGGTTGGTGTGAGGACAATGGCCATGAATGTGACTCCACTTACCTACAGGAAGCGCTGGTGGGTTTTCTGCAACATAAAACATTTCATCACAATTGATACGCTACTCCCAGATTTTTTCTCCAATGCAATATGCAGCTGGTGTCATACGCATATTTTTATCGAGAGATATGTATTTTGTCTAACCTTATTTTTTTACATATACAACTCTCCTAGGGTCCCCTGGTCGAGGGTTAGAACCAAAGCCTATACTGGTGAGATTTATTGAAAGCTATACATGTTACAACACGCATCAATGATGTCTGCCACATGACGCTGATAATACTTTTTCCATAGCACAATACCAAACAAACACAAACACAAAATACATCAACGTACCACCATCTGTCTCAAAGGCGAGCCTGGACCTGATGGTGCCTAGGAGGTTGTAGCTAGTGACAACAAACACTTGGTCATCCACCCCGGCGATGTTCCTCAATTCCTCTTCCGACACATTATAGCCGACTCCGACAACGAACATCTCGACCCCGGCGTCTCTGGTGATCCGGGCCTCCGACTCCGTCACATCCGGTAGTTGGGAGTTTCCGTCGGTCAGCACTATACACACTTTCCTCACATCCTTGCGAGCATTAGGGAGGAACGTTTCCCTCATGTACCTGATGCCTGCCCCAGTCTCAGTAGCCAGACCAGCTCTGTACGGTATGTCAGTGATCGCTTTCTTCAGGTACACGTTGTTGGTGTATTCATCAAATCCAAAGGCGTCCTCTGTGTACACCCTGTCACCGTAGGAGACGGCGGCGACTCAGACCATGTCAGGCTGGATTTGGAAAATGTCAACAAAATCTTCCACAAACCACAATCCCATGGTAAACTTATCTGGCCATATACTGGACGAGGCGTCGATGACGAAGGTGACATCCATCGGCTTCTGTCTGCATACTGCATGTAACAGGCAGAAGATAATCGTTATTGCCGACATATACAGGCAGTATTCGAGTTTGGTACAAAGCGACCTTAGCGCTAAGGTGATCGTAATTCCCATACCCTAACACAGACTTACGACAGTCGTGGCGCTGAGGTCGTCCTATGCAACCTTAGACATCAGTTCTTATTTCCCGGCTTCAAATACTCAATAGCGCCTGCACACCCAGACTCACATGTCGACATGTCGACATACTAAAGGTTTCACTGAGCTTCAGTCTGTATGTGTACTCACAGATTTGCCATATTCATGTTGGCATTGCGAAATGCAATGATCTCAGACAAATGACCGAACGACCCCAGTGAAAAGAAACGAATCCCAGATTGACAACGATTATGACCCTTGGTCTGTTACCATCTTTCCCATGTCAGTGGTTTTCACCGGAGTGACTAACGTCTACAGACTACTTCCCTTTGTGATTTCCTCCCACGCTGAGATGACACGCCGTGGAACAACCAATAGACTGTTTATAAGCGGTGCTAAAACCAGCTCACTCATATGTGTTACTCACCGCTTTCGCAGCTCCTGTAAAAGAATTGAAACGTGTTCAAATAAAATGTACATTAAAATAATTGCTGAAATGTGAAGCCTGTGGTTAATTTGATTGTACAGACTGCAATGTGCATCGCACAAAACATTGTTGTGGTTTTTTTTCAATCGATTATTTCCAGAAAGTGCAATGTAAGCCCAGCAACGTCTTCTGACCGACGATTCCGACGTGATAATTTTGGAATATTGCTATAAGCGGCGTAAGACTAAACTCACTCACTCACGCTGACCCACACGGCGGTACTCATTTGAATTCCGCGGATGTTTCCACCTGCCATGACCCGGTCACCTGTAAACACACCTGTATACAGTAAAACCTCTGTACGTCAAACACTTGTCCTCATGTCAAAGTATTCCAGTCAAATGGTGTACTAATTGAAGCGTCCTTAACTCATAGTTTCTATCAGACATAGTTTCAGTCGAATGGCGTGGTGTTTTTAGACCAGTGTACATAAGACCATGTTCATCCATAGTATTAGTTATAGTAATTATTCTTGGTTTGTGTCAAACAAGGCTTTGATATAAGACGTATTACCGATATTGAGTCGGCCACTACAGCTAATACGTTGTTAGCTCGTTGGATGACGTCATAAAGTAAACCGCAGTTCGCGAGGGTACTTTTCAAGTCAAGTCAAACACACTATATTTCCTTTTCATACTGGAAACAGAGAACTTCTATGTCAAAGATAATTCCAATATTGCAAGAATATTTAAGTACCACATTAAAAATGTTTTAGAAGCTGTATCATGAATGGCCATTTTAAAAATGTTTGAAAACAATACACCTGACTATAGATATTTATAGTTACCGTCTACTGAAACTGGGCATATGAAGCTTAGAATAAGCATGTGCCGTTCAAGGATGGGCTTCCTTATTAATATAGTTTTTCCGCATTGTCAGATAATTCTTAATAATACAACATCTGCTTATGTTCCTTAAATAATTGCGACCGCCTCCGTGGTGTAATGGTTAGAGCGTCCGCCCGGAGTGTGGAAGGTCGCGGGTTCGCTAACGACCGCGTCATACCAAAAGACGTTAAAATTTGGTACTTGTTGGTCCCTGTCGGGCGCTCGGCATTAATGGGTGGTCGGTTCGGAGTCAGTATAATGTGTCTGAGTGGAGTATTCATGCTTCACTGCGGCATGGTATCTCAGTGGGCTAGCACTATAAAACCAGCTTAAGTCTGGGATAGTACAAGCAGCCACACATACACATACACATCACCTTCACCACTTTCACCTCACCTCCTAAAATAATTGGTTACGTTTTCTTACCTATCATTCTTTACGATTAAAGAATGACATTGTGAGCATGCGCTTTGTTTACCTCTGCTCCACATTTCTTTGTACAGTTCATCAATGAATATAGAAAAGAACTTAGTATACAAACCTTGGGCAGAAGAAACAATCTCAACTAGAACTTAAAAGCTGTGAAATGTAAACACCCAAGACTGGAGCCGTTGGAATACTGATCGACATAACGGGAAAGTTGAGCGTTGGACAGTTGATGTCAAACCTCTTGCCATACTTTGTGGAGACGTTCTGGTTTCTTAGACACGCTCACGTTATAAGTTTATTCAGAATCAAAACGCTTTAGTTTTAAAATAATCCGAAAGGCAATGTAGAATTTAATCATTTCTCCACACATATTTTTGTGTAATTGAATAAAAGTTAAAAAACAAATATCATTTGACGAGTATGCACTGCACAAGCCGACTTTTGATTCGGGTATCACTGAGCGCCTAAAACGCGGGTGTATAGTTTGTCTGTCACACTCAACACTAATATGTCAAACACTCGTGAGCGTCAATCCATGTCTATTACTGGGTTTCTAATAGTGGGGAATGGAACCCCGGTCCCCATCATGACGAGCCCATGTGTTTACCGCTTGACTACAAGACTGCCTCTAAGCACGGGGTGTTTGGGCGTTAAACTCACGTACATAAATTATGTTTTTACAAATAATGTGTCAAAAAGAAACTATTAGTGTGAAAGAAAAACACTTTGAAAATATAGCTAACGACTCACATAAACAGAATCATATTTTGATGATTTTAGAATAATTGGGAGGATTTTAACTAAGAAAGTTGCCGTTGATCGCAGTTCGTGTATGGCTCCCTCGTGTATCGCGGACTTCGACATGCGGCAACATTTACTCTAAATATTGAGAACGTTTATGTTTCATTCTTTGGGCATTACAGGTATGCACTGACCACTTAAAACGTACATAAATGTGTGTTTCTCTGCACTGATTCAGGTTCTCTGCCAGTACTCGAGATTCAATATTTAGCTCTGCCATGATTTTACGTGTGCTTTATATAATGAAGGGTCGGAGTATCTCGGAGCCACAGACACTCTCAGGTCTTAGCTTGGTTTTCAGTATTGAGATTAACATTGAAATGTAGAAATATTTCTTAGGATAAAAAAATCAATGATTTGTTTCCTCACACTGATAATGTTTCGTTTATACATGATGCCTACTATTATGTACACAGGTAAATTCACCTTGGTGAAGATGTAGAGATCAATGAAAAGCCTTATATTCGCAACCACCCATGCCAAAGAATATCATTAATCCCATCCTCTACAGCAAAATAGCAAGCGTTTAAGTTTCAAGAACTTTAAATATCGTAAACTGTTTGTGGATTCTTGCCTTAAAAAGTCTTGCTTTCGCGTGCAAGTGTCTGATATTCAATTTACAACCATACATACTCAGTGTCTCTATTGAAGGATCGATTATTGAAAGTGGCAGAGATGAAAATGTCCTACAGGCGTCTACATTGACTGACATTGTGATTATCGGTACGGGATTCCTATGCCACATGATCTGGATGCTTTTAATAAAATGAAAAAGTGAACAGCGACTATTGAAAACAATTAAATGTATCCACGAAGGTAATGAGAAAGCTTCCCCAAAAACACACATCTCTGTGGAACCAATGGTGTAGCCGATGCACGCGCAAAACGCGACAAGTAACAATCTGTGTGGGTATAAAGTAGTTTAAATAGGAGGCATCTGAGCTTGGAAGTTAAAAATTGAAAATGCTGTTTGAATACATTGTCTCATAAGTGCCTGAACAACGATGTGAAGTGCACATTTAACAGGATTTAAATCTCAGTGAATTCCCTACCATCTCACTTCTTCGGTTCAATTCACTCTTCTAATTAACCGCACCCCTTGTTACATTTGATTAATAATTTTATTACATTGATATCGCATATTGAATATATC